AATTGTAGTAAAATTTTCTACAAAAAGTTAAGTATTTTTCTACAAGTCTACTACTGCAACATTGTAGTAAAATTTTCTAGTCACATTTTTTTCCGTGTAGAAATAGATAAAAATACATTAGTTTAAAAATATTTTTATATAAAAACTGGGTAATATAATTAGTAAAAAACCACATTTTTTATTAAAACCAAAATAAATAAACGGCGTTCACATAAAAAAATATTTTAAACTCTAAGAAAAAAATATAACAAAGTGCGAACTCTTAAAAATGAATGAACATTTTTGTATAAATTTTTTTTATATAAAAACTGAGGAGTGCAATTAAGTCATATCCTCTATATTTTTGTATTCCGGAACAGAAAAGAGCCCAGCAGAACATGGAACCGGGAGCTTGGAGAGTTTACATAAAATTTCTGCTGCTCGAATTGTCTGGGATGTCTCTTTTTTCAGGCCAAAAAAAAATCAATTTTCACAGATTTGCCGGTTTCTGACAAAACCACACCTAATAATCGGTAAACATTAAAATACCCATATTATAAAATTAAACTGAAAAACATTTTACCTGGATACCAAAAGTCGGTGACGAAAACTGCTACCCATTCATCTGGTTTAAGATCCAATTTCGAACATTCAACTATTTTTAGGAGATACTGACCAGTCATGTCTATATATTTGTTAGTGGGCATAACTGTACCTTTAGAACTTTGGATTTCTTTACCGACATCTTGACCAGCAATTGCAGAAGTCGTCGATTTGTGTATTTTTATAGGCCCAAAATTAAAGTGGCTACATGATTCGCCAATCAGGAATATGTTAAACTGTTAAAAGATAAAACATTATATTCTCTGCACCAAGTTACATTGTGGACTTGCATTCTGCCTTTAAACGTATCCAGATTCTCAATAATTTCATTTTCTACTTTGAGGATATCTGCACGGAAAAAAATGTGTCTAGAAAATTTTACTACAATGTTGTAGTAGTAGACTTGTAGAAAAATACTTAATTTTTTGTAGAAAATTTTACTACAATTTATAGTTAAAAACTATTCATTATTGTAGCAATTGAATTGTCGAATAAAATGCTACAACAATAGGAAAGAAGACCACAATGTTTAGTATATTTTACTATTGTTTGTAGAAATAGAAATTTATTACAATTATCGTAATTACTACTACTAACTACTGTTAAAATTTCTAAAAATATTAATAATTATCTCTACAAAAAATAGTAATAATTTACATCCCTTGTTATGAAAAAAATTCAATTTTGTTCAAAAATATTCTATAATATTGTAGAAATTCTAAGTCATGTGAATAAAACAGAATTCTGCTATTGGCCAATGTTTTCTGACGTCGATCATAAATGGCCAGACAGCAGTAGACGTTCGCCATGTGCACATAACAAAGCATGGTACATATACGAGTACCTATAATACATTATTATATTATAAGCACCGATGCGTTTGAGAAAATTTTAATAATAAATTCTATTGGTGGTAAGTACATTTATTATTGTTTCTGAATAATTTACCTTTAGATAACTAATTTAAATAACCTTAGTAGATTATTTTAAAAAATAGAGTTGTGGCCAACGATCGAATGTTGTGCCAAGTTCAATGATATTTTGTTGTCTTAAATATAGCCAAATCTACTTATTTTTTGGTAATCTATCTGAGGAAAAATTTATGACATACTTTTTTGTAACACCCTGTATATGTTAATACTGTCTATATAGAACATGTGGAATAAGAATGCTTGTTAAATAATGTTTACTAATAAATTTTATTTTTATTAGTATTTTTTCTCTCATTCTTTAATCATTGTCATCCATTGGTACCATTTCATACAATGTCAACTATTGAAACATTTGACAGTGGTCTTATACGTCATATACGTCACATGCGTGTATTAGAAAAAAATTATCATTTAAAAAAATTAAATTATCCAAATAGAACCCAGTGCATTTAAAACCCAGTGCATTTAATAGCTGAATGGATTTTTTTTAAGCAAATTATTTTAGTAAAATTACATTCTTTAATATCATCTACTGGTACACTTTTACGTAAATATTTTTTTTTATATTTTTCGTTTTAATAATTAAAAAATCAAAATCACAAAAAAATTGGTAAACTTTGCAATTTATGGTATAAAAAACAAAATTCCACTTCAACCATATAAATTTATTGACTGCCGCAAAAGTTTAAGGTCAAAACCCCCAGACGCTTCCCTAATAATTTTATATTGATTGAATTTTTCCAAATGTAAATAATAATAAATATCAATAAAGGCGTAAATGCTTCATTTGATTTGTGCTTTTTTTTGGTGACCACGCCATAAGTTGGGAAAATGGTGGTTATAATTAAAAAAACATGCTCTTTTTTTATCTTAAATATATATTTTTAATTAATTAATACCTCCAAATATTCTAGTTAAATAGTTGGTTTTATATTATTTACAAATAAGTACACTTATTTTCTTAAAATTTATTTACCAAATTAGCCGAATAGGTATTTAATCACTAATTAATAATTGGTTAAAACCAGAACCTCCACCTTTTTTTTTACTGCTGACTTGATATCTGATACCATTGTGGAAACCTATTGGCTTAATCTGTTGTATTATTTTAAAGAACCGAATAATTAATCAATATTTTATATCATTTAATCATATTTTCTATCAAAATAAATATTTAAATATCTAGAGGGTATCAAAATAAAAATCTGATGTGTCCAACACATGACTTTCCTATCTAGTTATTACAGGCTTTTTCCGGTTATTTTGTACAACCTATTGCAGCACCTCCATAAATGTTTAGAGGATAAAATAAATATATACATTTTCCACATACATCTACCTCGAAACATTTTTCTATAGATATTCATTGAAAATGAAAATACTGAAAAATTTAAATTTAGCACTTTTCCTACAATTTTTCCATTACGGTCCATTTTAGAAAAATCATGTAAAAACAAAAATTATAGCGATCGATATCGCAAACAACTTCTATTTCAACAATTTTCATAAAAATCGGAATTTTGCACATTTTGTCAAATTTCTCGAATACGGACCATTTCAGGAAATTTTGACATAAAGCAAAAATTATAGATAATAATATTAGAAATAACTTTTATTTGAAGAATTTTTTTCTCCAAACATAAATAACAGATATATTCCATAAAATATAAAAACGGCCCCCCCATAAAGTACCCCCCAGATGTTCCGACTTTGTCCAAAATCAAATCATTTCACGTCAGGCCGAAATAAAACTTAAGTTTAAAATTTAATGTTTTTTTCTTTATCCGTTTTTCAAATTTCGAAATTTACACATTTTCTCAAATACGGTCCATTTTAGAGAAATTATGTATGAAATAAAAATTATAGAGAAATATATTACAAACAACTTTTGTTTAAACAATTTTTATAAAAAAATATATTTTTACATTTTGTTAAATTTCTCGAATACGGACCATTTTAGGAAAATTTTGTATAGAAGAAAAATTTTAGATAATAATATAAGAAGTAACTTTTATTTGAAGAATTTTCTTCCCCAAACGTAAATAACAGATATATTCCATAAAATATAAAAATGACCACCTATAAAGTACCCCCCCAGATGTTCCGACACTGCCCAAAATCTTTAATCAGCACATTGGACGCTGGAACAAAGCTTAAGTTTGAAATTTGGTGTTTTTCTGTGTATCGGTTCATGAGTTATGCGACACACAGACATCATCGCGAAAATAGTCAAAACGGATTCAGGGGAACTCAAAACGTAAAAATCCGTCGAAAACTCGAGGTCGAAAAAAATCATGATTCCTATACTTTCCTTATATCTCTATACAGATAGGAAAGTAAAAAGCACCGGTCGGGTAGTAACAATTGAAAACACAAGTGGATAGTATAATGTCACATTTTTTAAAAAAATTATTTTTATGGCCTAATATACCTAAAATATACTATATTTTTTGTTTGTCATGAGCCATATATCGTAATGCAATTGTAAAACTTTAAACTTGCTTTTTTCAAAATAATCTTTTTGTGACATGACCCCCTTATTCATTTGTGTCTTCAATTCTAGAAAAATGCCTTTTGTACCTATACCTAGGATGTGACCTATAAATTCTATGCGGTATTTTTTAACTGTATTTCACTAAAATATTGCTTTATATTTATAGAATACCTATATAAGTACAGTACATATAACACAAGACGAAATATATTTATTTCCATCCCCTTGAATTAGTATCTATAAAAGTTTTAACAAAATGTTAATTATTATCTAGTTTGGCCCATCTACAAAACACATTTTCAATTTCTTTTTTAAATTTTAATGTAACATCTCAAAATAAAATAGCTAGGTATATCAAGAAACAATTTTTAAAATTTTTCAGCCTATTTTGAATCATGTTTACTCTTTAATTGCTATTAAAATTAATTTAGTTCTTGTTTCCACTTTTTATATAGGTACTGACGTTTTGTATAAATACCTATAGGTATCAAAATTATCAATTTTTGAAGCAAAAATTATTATTTAAACATTTTTATTAGTTATGTTTTATTTAGAAAATTCTACTATATATTTCACTTGTATTTTAATACCAATACCCAGATAGGTATCACTTTTTAATTTTTCGATTAGGTTAGAATAGACGACAAAAAAATAGAAAGGGAAATATCTGACATAATTATTTTTTGAAATATGAGTGTTTTAAATTTTGAAAATATAGGTATCTATCACAACTGATTTAAAAATCAAAATTATTTACAAAATAAAATTTGTACTTACCTGAATTGCTCATATTTTACCGTCGGATAGGTCAGGAAATGTTCTACAGTTGTAATTTAATTTATTTTCAATATTTAAATCATAAGATCTTCAATAGGTACCTACTTACCTATATTTGCACAATTACAACCACAAATAGACCTGGATGATTTTAAACTTCAACTTTAATTAGTTGATAGATCAATGATAACTCAAAAATTCTATAACTATGGTATTTATTTTTCATATATACATTTAAAATGAATAAATTAGAACCTCTATCAAAATCGGCATACTCTCATACAATTGAATACCTACAAAATATGTACAAAAATCAGTCGCAATACGTAATCACAGTAAACAAAAAAACAACTAAACAAAGTTAAAATCAATGTCCATAACGTCAACAAAATTCAACAAAACGTCTTTAATTTGGTCACTAATACATCACGGATACGGGAAGCGGCCTTCGTATTTCCAGATCTGAACTAGCCGGACTTGAAGCCGGACTCGATGACGCTGAATACATCATAGGAGTTGGCATCGAAGAAAACATACTCAACGGTGGTGCTTGTGCGAAACCCTTCGGTTGCTGGTATAACGAAGAATACAATGAATTGTGTAAGGAAGAATGTAGAGAAGTTACCACAGCTGGTTGATGTGTTAAATGGTGTTGATGATGTTGTTCTTCCGTTTTCATAGAAGGCATTCTTGAATATTCAAAAGCCGGATTAAAATACGGATACGGCGAGTTTAGAGATTCCATCGACGGGAACGGATAAGGCAGTTGATGCATCGCATATCCTCCCATATGCGGCTTAATTCCACTAACCAAAGGTCCTTTTGGTTTCCTTCTTGGTCTGTATTTATAATCGGGATGCTCTTTCATATGCAGCGCTCTTAAACGCTTAGCTTCATCGATAAATGGCCTTTTCTCACCTTCTGATAATAATTTCCATTCTGCTCCTAACCTTTTCGATATCTCTGAATTATGCATTTTTGGATTATCTAATGCTATTTTTCTTCTTTGGATTCGCGACCATACCATAAAAGCATTCATAGGCCGTTTAATATGCGCATCACCATTGGCAGCTTGTTGATTTTGTTGCTGATAATCTTCAGACATTTGTGTAGTTGGAAACCCGTACATACTGTTGCTCATCACTTAAAAACACTTTGCTTGTTCACTCTACTAACGAAAATAAGAGACTGATGTTGCAGGAACTTGTCAAAAGGTATTTGTGATATTTCGGGGCGGAGCGTACGGTTAAGAGAATCGGTAGAAAGCTGTACGCCACGCCTTCTTTTTTTACCATTGGTTACTTTTTCCCCTACTCTCACACGTAACCGCACACAAAGAAGTTTTTCTCTTTTTATTGTGGAAGCACAATGATATTCTTTCCGAATACCTGTTCGTGTTTTCTTGGGAGCATTGTTATGTGTTTTGCAAATGTTTTTGTATATGCATTATGGAAATAAGAGGTTTGAATAGTTTCATGACAATTTCTGGAGAATTAATGTTAGTTGCATATGCAATTAAATTTTTAGAGTCAATACAATTTCTTAACTGTGACCGATTGTTTAGATATGCTTTTTATCCGTTTGTGTACCTATGAAATTAACGGGTATTTCGAATGATATCGATCTAATTTATGTTTACGTATGTTACATAATAACTAGTTTTGTAAATGTTATGAAACGAAATCATTAGCGATTATGTAAATAAATCAGTCTATTTTTATTTGTGACTTGTTGATGTTTGTGAAGGAAAAGTATTCGTAATTTTAAATTGATGATTCTTTAATTGTACCTAATAAGTAGGTAGTAAGTACCTACCTAGTTTCTTAATTGTTGTTTTTTAAAGAAGAAGATTATTCTGGGAAAATTGAATGAGGTAGAGTAGAAATTACTTGTGTTGAATTTGTTTACTAAAAACTTTTTAAAAGAGTAAATTTTATTAAATATACCGGGTGTTCAAATTAAAGTGTTACAGCTAAATACCTACCGCCTTTTATAAAAAAAATGTTTAAGACGAAAGTTTTTTAGTTTTGTGGGGAAAATTTTTTGGCTAAAATCGATTTTTATAGCTAACCATAATACCTATGCCAACTTTTTTTCGCCCAGCAAAATTTTCAAGCAGCTGTTACTCAAAAAGTAAAAGTCCAATAAAATAATATTTCCATCAAAAGTTTCTTATTTTTTTATGTACTTGTGTAAAAAAAATGGGATTCCCATTTAAAAAAACCAAGTCCACCTCGATATGGCCATATTATGGTCAGCTATAAAAAAATGAATTTAGCCAAAATGTTTCCCCCAAAAAACTATAAAACTTTTGTCTGAAACTTTTTTTTCTAAAATGCATATTTCCGGCGGTATTTAGCTGTAACACTTTAATTTGAACACCCGGTATAATTTGATAATATCTCATATTTATACAGATACATGTTATACAGAATGATCTTTATGAATATTGGGTACCTATTTAGGTATTTAATATAAGTAGGTATGTGCAGAAAATTATAATAGATGGCGAACTAGCTAGAACATGAAATACAATTACGAAATAATTTTATAATTTATTAAAGTATTTTGCATTTTCTGCTTAAAAGGCATTTTTTGACATTTATTTATTTGTATTGTATGCCTGAAGCATAAGCATTGCTACAGTGGTACAGATTTTGAGTTTTCATTCATATTGGATGAAATATACAATTTTCATAAATGCAAGAATTACAATAACTCTGATTTTAGTTCAAGTTTAACGTTAATTTATTTTTGAATATTTCAGAAAAGGGTAATTTATTAGTAATTTTTACATAATTTATTTTTAATCAAAACTCTTTGACGTAACAATTTTACCTATTACGTCAATCATATTATCCTTTCGTACACTAAGAAAATTATATTTAAAAAGTGTTTTGCTGAGAAATTTGTTGCTACCACAAATACATTTTTAGCTACAATTAAAAAAATATATTAATATATAAATAGATATTAAGGAAGGATCGTTTGGAATGGCCCAACCGATAGACAGAAGAATGTTATGTTTTTATGTTCCTATCTAGTTAATAATCGTATTCTATTCTATTTTATAATAAACAGAATAGGTACAATATATTCAGAATAAAATGTCTTTTAAGTTTTTTTCATAAACATTAAACAAAAAATACCTAATTAATTTAAAACTACTATTATATAACAAATATAAAGTTCAGTTATCCTCGGTAAAACTGGAAATTTGACATTTAATACATGCAATACATTCTTGTTTTTCGACTTTAACTGAACTTTATTTGTTTCTTAAAAGTTACTTTTAAACCACTACACACTACTTTTTTATCACCACTAAAAACTATTTTTTAAAAGTAAAAATTAATTCTTTATCGATTAAAACTTCTTTTTAAAGGTAAAAACTATCTTTTTAATTACAAAAAGTACTATCTATTAGTACCTATTTTTAACCACTAAAAACTACTTTCTAACCATAAAGGACTATTTTACTTTCTAACTACTAAATTAATAAAAACTAAAAAGTACGTTTTAAGGGACTAAAAAGTAATTCCAAAAAAAGAGGGACTAAAAAGTAATTCCAAAAAAAGTAAATTTTTTAATCGTAACAAAGTTCTTTGGCTGTCGCCTATTTCAATAGTTTTTTTAATGGTTATTACATTTTTTACTATCACAGCAAAAAATTTCCCTCAGTGTAGATACACACACAGAGAAATTTTTTAAGAACTAATATTTCTTAAATTGAAGAATACCATGTTTAGATAGAAAATATAAAACTTTGATTTTAAGAATGTATAACGACTTTTTACTTTCCTATCTGTATACAGATATAAGGAAAGTATAGGAATCATGATTTTTTTCGACCTCGAGTTTTCGACGGATTTTTACGTTTTGAGGTCCCCTGAATCCGTTTTGACTATTTTCGCGATGATGTCTGTGTGTGTGTGTGTGTGTGTGTGTGTGTGTGTGTGTGTGTGTGTGTGTGTGTGTGTGTGTGTGTGTGTGTGTGTGTGTGTGTGTGTGTGTGTGTGTGTGTGTGTGTGTGTGTGTGTGTGTGTGTGTGTGTGTGTGTGTGTGTGTGTGTGTGTGTGTGTGTGTGTGTGTGTGTGTGTGTGTGTGTGTGTGTGTGTGTGTGTGTGTGTGTGTGTGTGTGTGTGTGTGTGTGTGTGTGTGTGTGTGTGTGTGTGTGTGTGTGTGTGTGTGTGTGTGTGTGTGTGTGTGTGTGTGTGTGTGTGTGTGTGTGTGTGTGTGTGTGTGTGTGTGTGTGTGTGTGTGTGTGTGTGTGTGTGTGTGTGTGTGTGTGTGTGTGTGTGTGTGTGTGTGTGTGTGTGTGTGTGTGTGTGTGTGTGTGTGTGTGTGTGTGTGTGTGTGTGTGTGTGTGTGTGTGTGTGTGTGTGTGTGTGTGTGTGTGTGTGTGTGTGTGTGTGTGTGTGTGTGTGTGTGTGTGTGTGTGTGTGTGTGTGTGTGTGTGTGTGTGTGTGTGTGTGTGTGTGTGTGTGTGTGTGTGTGTGTGTGTGTGTGTGTGTGTGTGTGTGTGTGTGTGTGTGTGTGTGTGTGTGTGTGTGTGTGTGTGTGTGTGTGTGTGTGTGTGTGTGTGTGTGTGTGTGTGTGTGTGTGTGTGTGTGTGTGTGTGTGTGTGTGTGTGTGTGTGTGTGTGTGTGTGTGTGTGTGTGTGTGTGTGTGTGTGTGTGTGTGTGTGTGTGTGTGTGTGTGTGTGTGTGTGTGTGTGTGTGTGTGTGTGTGTGTGTGTGTGTGGGGTGCGTGCGTGCGTGCGTGCGTGCGTGCGTGCGTGCGTGCGTGCGTGCGTGCGTGCGTGCGTGCGAGCGTGCGTGCGTGCGTGCGTGCGTGCGTGCGTGCGTGCGTGCGTGCGTGCGTGCGTGCGTGCGTGCGTGCGTGCGTGCGTGCGTGCGTGCGTGCGTGCGTGCGTGCGTGCGTGCGTGCGTGCGTGCGTGCGTGCGTGCGTGCGTGCGTGCGTGCGTGCGTGTGTGTGTGTGTGTGTGTGTGTCTGTATCCACCATAACTCATGAACCGATACACAAAAAAACACCAAGTTTTAAACTTAGGCTTTATTTCAGCGTTCAATGAAATGATTAGATTTTGGGCAGAGTCGGAACATCTGGGGGGTACTCTATAGGTGGTCATTTTTATATTTTATAGAATATATCTGTTATTTACGTTTGGAGAAGAAAATTATTCAAATAAAAGTTACTTCTAATATTATTATCTTTAATTTTTGCTTCATGTAAAAATTTCCTGAAATGGTCCGTATTCGAGAAATTTGACAAAATGTGCAAAATTCTGATTTTTATAAAAATTGTTGAACTAAAAGTTGTTTGCGATATCGATCTCTATAATTTTTGTTTTTACATGATTTTTCTAAAATGGACCGTAATGGAAAAATTTGTAGGAAAAGTGCTAAATTTAAATTTTTCAGTATTTTCGTTTTCAATGAATATCTATAGAAAAATGTTTCGAGGTAGATGTATGTGGAAAATGTATATATTTAGTTTATCCTCTAAACATTTATAGAAGTGTATTGCAGCACTTCTATAAATGTACAAAATAACCAGAAAAAGCCTATAATAAGTAGACAGGAAAGTCATGTGTTGGACACATCAGATTTAGACAAAAAATAACAGGAATAAAATACATTTATCTCTAGGGCATCTTAGAGTTACGTAGTTAGTGTCTAAAATGGATTATAATGTAAATGAGGGTTTTGAATTTTATGAAAGACAAAATGAATACAGAATACAGAAACATTGAGTTATAGAAAGTATTGTTTGAGTGGAGATTAGCATATTCAATATAATAGAAAAAAGTACAGGTGAATCTGATTTATTCTTTCAGTGAAACATCGTCATAAGGGATGATGTAGGGTCTGATTACAATTAGAAGAACACCGCTACGTCATAACCATAACTTTGAATTTCGAATAAATATTAACTATAACTATCAATAAATTAAAAATAAGTAAGTTGTTAGTTATAGATCAATATTTCCTATATTCTAAACCCCCAGTAGGCGGCGATAACCAATTAATTACTTTGCTAAATGATGACGTATAGAAATATAGAAACTAATATTTTTATTTAGGTATATAAATACATGTTAAAGAAAAATTATAATCATTTTATTCCTTAAATATTACAAGCCACTACAGCAAAACGATGTTCGTAATGGGAATGTGTAAATTAAATGCAAAGTTTAGAAAATCTTTTATCTATAAAAATAATTATAAATATTCCCGGAATGTATAATCCCTTGCTCAAGGATGAATTTATTTGTGGGATTATAGCACCGTAATTTGTTTATGTATGTATTTTAATGGGCTCTGGCGCGTAAATAAATAAAGTAATT